ATATATATATATTATTTTAACAAGCTTAATTAAATGGGATAGAAGTTTTTCTACCATAAAATAAAATAAGTAACACTAAAATGCTTTCTAAATATTTATTGTGGTAAATAAATTCAAATATATACCTTAAAAAATGTATTAATTAATAAGATTAATTTATATTTTTCTCATTAATTTTAAAGGAAAGGAGGATATAAAGAAGAGAATTAATACTCAAAAGCTAGCTGTGTTTTAAGGTTGACTTATAAATTAATATATTATTAAGTATATAATTTTAAAATAAGATACATGTAAAAGACATTTTAGCCATAACATGATCAACTGAACAAGATGCTGTGGTGGTTATTAAGCTCTCTGATATCGATAGTTGCATGGTGTTTAAAAATGATAAAAATGTTGAAAACAATTTTTTTTTAATTTTTTATTATTTTAATTTATAAAATATGAATAATATAAATATTAATAATATTAAGACTGAAAAATACTGAATAAATGATGAGATGAAAAATAAATAGAGAGATGAGAAGAAAATGATGATTAAATGAGATTATATATATATATATACTTATATATTTGCTGTATGAGAAGAAAAATGTATGTATATATAACGATGTGTTTATGTTTTAATATTTCTATACAATAAATTAAATATAAGCACACATTTAATTTTACTCTCATCTCTTTACTCATTTTTCATTACATCACTTAGAAAATATTATTTATTTTAATATATGATTTTTTATTAAAGTTGAAATAAGAAAGATTTAATATTAAATAAAGATTAAATTTGCATAATTATCATACTTAGAAATCAAAAGTATAATTAATAAATACAATAATGATATATATTTTTTAAAATTGAGCATTTTCATCTTAACATTTTTTTGCCCTACAATAATTGTAATTTAATATATATATATATATATATATATATTAATTAAAGACAATAATAAATGTATCATTTTTTAAAATAATTTTATTAAAATATTTCTTCATTTTAATAAATACATTATTTTTTTTATTAATTTAATTAAATAATTCATGAAAAAATCAATTAAAATTTATATAATAATTAATATTATATTAAAAATTAATAACATCAAGCATATATTTTGATATATGTATCAAACGTTAAAATTTTAGTCATTATAAGATAGAAGTATTATATTTGTATTTCAATAATGTTAACTATCCATGGCAATTATGCATGTATTACCGCCACATCATAGTCAACACTTTTAGATTAGAGTTAACTAATGGCAATGAATAATAAACTTACAAATAGGTAACCAATCACAATTAAATTATTTTTTACACATTTTTTATTATAAGAAGGTTAAATACGGAAGAATTTTATACTATTAAATCATATAAATAAATAAGTTTGATATCACATTTTAACTCAAAATCATAAAATATTAGATTGATAGATTTTTTACTCATAAATTATTCAACATACTAAATTATATTTAATATAAAACTTTGATTTACATTTAAACTTTAATAGTTGATAATAAAATAAGAGAAAATAGACTATACACTATATTATATATACACCGTCGATTTAATCACAAATTATAATATATAATAAATATTTATTAATTTTTATATATAATAATTATCTTAAAAATTATTTTATTAACAATTTTTTATTGATTATATAATCTATTTTATATTTTATACTGACATGACGGTACATGATAATAACTTAATAAGCACATAAAAGAACGTTACTATGTAAATGCCTTATAGAAAATACATTCACCCGTATAATTTGTAGCAAAATCTCTTCAAACATTTTTTTTTTTTGCAGTAAAAAAAATAATTGTCCAGCAAGCAATTTTAAATTGCACCGGATCGGTGACCCGTGACCCATAACTAATCAATGATCGGATTGACACCATATAAAACTTATGATAGGTAATAAGAATGAAACTAAATATTATGCTAAATTTTACTTTTGTTTTCTTCGATTTTTCTCTGTTCGTAATTTTAATTCTTTTATTTTAAAATAAAAGCATTTATTTGATTTCTATAATTTTAAAAATATAAATTTTAGTTCTTCCATTAAATTGATATATATATTTTTTAATTTAATATTTACTTATACTTAAATAATGTGACATTAAAAACAAAAAAAAGAATATATAAATAAGATTTATTATTAAAATAAATATTATTTATTTATTAAAATACATATAAATCAAAAAATTTTATATGCTACCTTTTATTTTTATTCATAAGATATTAAATATCACATTACTTAAATAATGATAAGTAATTGAATAATGTTAAAATTTATCGATTAATGAATACCAAATTGATGTAACATCAAGATTTTATGTTTTAAAAAATATAAAAATAAATATTTTTATTTTAAAATAAAAAATAAAAATTATACATATTAAAAAAAAAACTAAATTTATCCTAAATATTACAATAATTTTGGCTGCTACAGTGGGTGAAATATAGTTGGTTGTACATGTTAGTAATTTTCGAAGTCACCTAGGGCAATACCCTCAGTAATCATCAAGTTTCTAATAAACCATTTCTAGAAAGTTACAACTCATTAGGACATATCCTTGTTTGTATTATATATTAATATTAATATTAATATTAATATTAATATATGTTTTCATATTTATAAACTTTCGGGTGAATAAATCTAATTTTAGTTTGCAACAAAGTTTTAGCTCATTTTACATATATTTGGATTGTTACATGCAAGAAGTTTTTCTTTTAGAAAAAAAGAAAAAAGAAAATGCGAACCTTTCTATTGGGATATAGAGCATTTATTTTTTCCCAAAAGAACCATGAATTTTCTATGTACTACATGGTCTTCAAATTTCCAATCCCAACCATTGGAAGCATGAGAAGCCAAACCACGGTGGTCTTGCATGCACCACACGAAATTGCCTTTTTAAATATTCAAGAAATCATTGTAGAATTTATATAATTTACGTAGATTACTTTAGTTATAAGTTAGCACAATATTTTAAAGTTTTTGCTAACAAGTGTGAAAAGTGTTTATTAAGAAATAAACAAGTTAAGGAAAAGAAAACTTATAAATTTCTAAACTCGTTAAAAAAGGAAAATAACAAATATATTATAAGTTTTTAGTATACCGAATTCAATATTTTACATTTAATACTTATCTTTTTTTTTTTTTTTTTTAGTTTCTCAATCAAAATATTTTGAGCATTAATTAATAAAATTTATATTAATATATTGAGCATAAATTAATATAAAAAAGAATTTATCTCCTTTCTGTTCATACTTACTTTGCTGTACATCCAATTTTACCCGGTGAGATGCCTTATTGTGTTTCTTGCCTTTATATTCATATTTTTAATTTTTTATATAAGAAATAAAAAAAACAATTTATATATCATGACTAATAAAATAGTTTAAATTATCTTATTTTCATTAATAATATTATAAGTTTAAATTATATTTAAAAAATATTAATATAATTAAATGCATGGTTTAAGTGCTTAATATATTTAATAATATTATTTTTAATTTAAAAATAATCTTTTTCACCAGTTATATGACTTTCTATATCTTTAATAGGTCGATGAATGAATTTACTTTCATGAGAAATGAGTGATTGTTTCATTATTAGACTTTAGAATAATTGCAGTCGAAAAAAAGACTTTAGAATAATTTAAATGAAGGATAAAATTAATTAGCAATCAATATATCTAAAAATAAGTTTATGTTTCTTATAACAAGGGCAAAATAAAACAAACTTGTTCATTTCTTCTATAAAAGATAAATCATATAAGAGATACCACTATTTTTTTTTCCAATAATAATATAGAATCTTGCAAATGGAATTTTAAAAAGTGTGATATTAGATTTTTTTTTGATATATTAAGAACTACGTGCATTTACATGAAAACGAAAATAATACATTAAATTTTTCTTTAATTATTATTTTTTACTTTGATTAATTGAGAAATGATTTGTTAAGTTTATGAAAAGATCATTGTTTCTTGATCATGCCGATTGACATCCTCCACAAGCCAAGAGAGACACAGGCATTAGTTTTTGTCACTGTCCAATCCTTCTATATAAACAAGCACTGAATGTGAATTATTGCATCGAACAATATAATAGAAATAATTAAGAGAAAAGTAGAAAAGAAAAATGGGTGGTTTCACGGAGAAACAAGAGGCTTTGGTGAATAGCTCATACGAAGCATTTAAGGCAAACATTCCTAAGCACAGCGTTGTGTTCTACACCTCGTAAGTTTTCTCTATCAATGCATGTTTTATTCAAAGAGATAGTGTCTCTGATCTTGGTTTGATTAAAATTTATAAACAATAAAAAATAGGATATTGGAGAAAGCACCTGTAGCAAAGACCCTGTTCTCGTTTCTAGCCAATGGAGTGGACCCCAATAACCCTAATCTCACGGGCCATGCTGAAAAACTTTTTGCATTGGTAAGTTATGGCTATTTTATGTGGTTTTAAGTTTAAAAATACACTCTTAAAATATCAGTGAACATTTGTTTAATTGTATTATATATATTAATTACCAATTACCATATTTGAAATGCAGACACGTGACTCAGCTGTTCAACTTCGAGCAAAGGGAGCAGTGGTGGCTGATGCTGCACTTGGTTCTATTCATGCCCAGAAAGGAGTCACTGATCCTCAGTTTGCGGTATATATGATTAATGATAAAATATTACAATAAAATACATGCACAAATTAAAATGTATCCTTATTAATGAATTTACATAACTATGATCATAAAACAATTAATGAAATAAAAATAGTAAAAGTATAACATTTTATCTCATCAATATATTTTTGTTGTAACCATCACAAATGATTTGCAGGTGGTGAAAGAAGCAGTGCTGAAAACAATAAAGGAAGCAGTTGGGGACAAATGGAGTGACGAATTGAGCAATGCTTGGGAAGTAGCTTATGATGAATTGGCAGCAGCCATTAAGAAGGCCTATGCATAGGATCTATATATTGTCGTAAATTGTAATAAATAAATTGTTATTCACTAAAACTTGTTATTAAACAAGTTCATGATATAAATGTTGCTTTAAATAATAAGTATATTATATATAGTATTTGAATAAACAATCTTAAGTTTTATATTTCCATAGATTTATGTTTATGAATATAATTATAATCAGTAGTTTATGCAACTAAATTCAAAATTATCATATTTTTTTAATAAATTTAATTATATGGGACAGAAGTTTTTCTACTTAAAATTAAAATAAATAATAGTATTAAAGTGCTTGACAAATATTTATTGTGGAAAAAAATCAAATACATTGAAATATATTTGTCAATTAGGTCACTGATTATTTTTTTTAATAATTTTATTTAAAGAAAAGAGACATTTCATATCTATATAATTTTTAAAATAAATTATAAAATGTTACTTACAAAAAGATAAAGAAAAACACTAGAGAAAAAATCAAATAAAAAGAAAAAAAGATGTTGGGATAGAAAATCTTAGAATAGTGGATTAAGCCTAACTAAATCCTACAAAACCGGCTTGTAAGGTGATGGTTGCTTTCCACTTATATATTATTTAATTGTCTAATTTCTAGTTGATGTGAGACTTGAGTTTTTCCCAATACACCTCCTCACTTGGTACGTGGAAAAATGGATGGTAGGTGACCCTTTTTTTTTAATGACTTGGCGGGACTTGAATACACCTCCCCTCATACCCATGGTGCATATATCAATGGTGGGTGACCCATTTTTAAGAATCTAGGATAGCTCTAATATCATCTTAGAATAGTGGATTAAGCTTAACTCAACCCTACAAAACCGGCTTGTAAGGTAAGGGTTACTTTCCACTTATATATTATTTAATTACCTAATTTCTAGTCGACGTGAGATTTGGATTTTTCCTAATAGAAAAAGTGGTTTAATTAAATGTTAAGTATTTCTAATTTTAAACAAGTGGAAGAGAAATACGAAAATTAAAACTTAAAAGCAAACATGCAACAAGAATATTATAATATATTGGGAAAAGAATATTATAGTTAGAAAAAAAGGAAATACTTTGTACCTCTTTAGAGAGAGATAGAGAGAGAAAGAAAGAAAAAGAGTAAGAGTGTGATTAATTAAAAATTATGAGATTTATGGTAAAGTAAGAAAGAAAGAGAAAAAAGGCAAATATAAAAAAAAGTAATGTGAGAAAGAGACAGTCATACAGACAAAATTGTAAAAAAACAAAAATGTACATAAAAACAAAATATTATCTTTTTATATAATAATAAGATAAAGAAACACTTCATACCTCTTCATACTTCTATATGTTTATTCTTAAAAAGTTTTGAGAGAAGATATTAAAAAAATATGAAGATTTTAAAGCAAGTAATCATATTTGATTTTTTTTTTACTGTAGAGGATAAGTAACATAAATTTAGAGGTAAAATACCTACTTATAAAGTAAAAATTAAGAAAGTGATTACTAAACTATATCTCTTTTATAATAAATTAGGGTATAAAAGAGATTCTATGATTTCATGAATTAATTTTTAAAATAAAAATTATATAATAGTAAACAATTATTAAAAATATATGCAACTGCGGAGTGAAATTTTAAAGAAAAATGATAATTTATAAAATAATGGATATAAGGGTAAAATTGAAAAGAAAAAAAAAATATATATATATATATATATACAAAAAGTCTATTCCCCTTTAATATAGTTTAAAATTAGGAAAAAACTAACATGTCGTGTCTCTATTTTTAAAAAACAAAACTAATCATGTAGTGAATAATTATTTTAAAAGAATAGACAGATTGAGGAAAAAAAGGGCATTAGAAGAGGAAAAGTAGTTTAGATCTCTGAGAAAAATTAAAATATAAAACTAAAAGGATATCCCTTTATATGTTGATAAATATAAATAGATATGGTATAAACTATAAACAAGAATCGACCACCTATTACACACATACTGTAAATCTAAAAGTAACCAAGAACTATACGGTCAATCCCTTTAATGCACAATGTCTTCAAAGTCTCAAATCATAATAATAATTGAGTTGCATAGAGCTATTAGACAGATTTATTAAGATATCCAAGGCCAAACTTTCTAGATATTTTTGCCACTAATTAAAGAACGTTAACAACCATTCACAAAGTAGTCTTACATTAAAATTTGTAAGAAATTTATTATAATTTTATATAATTTAACATATTTTGAACATGCTAAATGAACTAAAGATTCTCACTTGACATGCTATATGGAATATTAAAAAAAGAAAAAGAAATTGTCACGTGGATGGCGTCAATCCACACAACAACTTCTTCAAATATTAAAAAAATATTGAATTAAAGAAAATTAAATTGAAATAAATAAACAATACATAATTAATACATTGTATAATATATTACAAATGATTATATAAATATTATTAATTGTGTAATAAAAGATGTGGCATGTGAATATCTAATCACTATCTATTGATGTCTATTTCTTTTCTCTTGGAACATCACTAATTTGATGAACATTCTTTTCAACATAAATTTACCATATTATTCTCCTTCCCTCATTCCTTGTGTTATCTGATCCACATTCACTAAAAATAAATAATCTTATATAAATGAATAGATAGTTAGAATTGTTGTTAGTGCAATTATATCTATATCATCCTATTTTTCAAAACCTTCAAAAACCAGTTGAAATTTGTCAGTGAAACAAGTAGTTATTTCAAAAGCAATTCGATACCCTTTTCACACCACCAATATTAAAAAGTAAAATAAAAGGAAGTGAATGTAGTTTTGTGTTTGGAAAGCTACAAATCATAATTTAAACAAAAAGTTGTTTCTTATAACTTTTGCTCAAACCATGGTTTAAGACTTTCAAACTCAAAACCAAAGACAGTATAACACTCACGCTCAATGTTAGTTTATATAATTATGTGATACTTAAAATCGTTTACAATACACAATTCTGACTTCTGATCAGTGTAATAAATATTATGTAATGCAGCCATTCAATATTTTTAATATATACAATCGATCCTTCAAAGGAATGAAAAGGAAGAAAACTTGCGTGATGGACCGAAACATACATTATTGGACCGCATGAAGTCACAAATCACAAGTACTTCCCATCTTGAATTCAATATTCAGTTAACAATTTCAAAAAATACCTTCTAAAGTTCTTGCCGTCTAGTTGAAAAAACATTTGTATAGCCCTTTGTGCTAATATCACACTATACTCTCTGCAGTGCATATAGAAAGTACGTGGAAAAGGGACATGTCAAGGTAAAATTTCTGTTTTCTTATTCCTATAGGGGGTGATATTGTTCGTTCAATTTCTGATATCATTCTTGATGAAAATTATTTCTAAAAATAACTAAACATATGACAAGAACATAATGAAAAGCAAGCAACTCCAACTAGAATTTATGCCATTTAAGCTAAAAACTTCTCATTACTGTAGCAAATGATGTGACATGATATGATTCGATGTGACAGTTTTAAAGCCTATTATGATTATGAAAATGGGAAACAAGTGAAGGATAGAAAAGGAAAGGGGAAAATATGCAATTTGAGTAGGCATAGCAGAGATAAATTCCAGGAGAGACTGGATTTCAAATTCTATGATTTCCAGGCTATGGAGGTTTTTCTCCAAACTCTTGTTTTTCTCTTAATATTAAAAAGGTTCCGTATACTTAGTAACATTATCATTGATATTATTATTATGCAGATAGAAAAAGGGTGGAACAATCTTTTTGTTTCTATTATTTCTATAGAAACAGGGGAAACCATAGCCAAGTCTGGCAAAGCATCAGTACTAAATGGAGAGTGTCATTGGGAAGACTCCATGTTAAGTACCATGTGGATTTCTGATCATTCTCTACAAGACAATGAAGCCTTCCTCCTTAAGCTTGTTGTTGCCATGGTTTGTTGTTGTTTGTTACCTTTGTTGCTTGATTATGTGTCAGCATACTTCACATTTTATTTTGTTTATTTAATTTGTTTAATTTAGATACATGATCATCATATTCGTTAATATGATATGGTGACAAGGTAAATTTCTATAAGATATGTGTAAAATTAAACAATGTATATAATTCAAATTTAATTAATATTGTTGAGAATAATTTACTTGACCTTATATTGCATGTTATCATAGGGATCTGCCAGGTTTGGAACCCTTGGGGAGGCTACCATCAATTTAGCAAGTTACATTAGACCAGAAACTAGTACTGCATCATTGCCTTTGAAACAACATTGTTCCCATGGAACAATCTTACAAGTAAGGATTTTGTTTCTTGAATTACATGCAACAATGTTCTTGTTACTAAACTCAGGGCTATTATCAGTTTTCAACAAGTTTTACTCCAGCACTGCTATAGAACACGAACATCATGAAATTATCCAAATGTTTATACTCTTTTATGAACTTAATTTCAATTACCTTGAGCGAAATTGTTTGTCTAAATAACTTTTGGTAATATTACGCTGCTGCGAAACCACGAATTATGCTTTTATATTTTCGTAGATGAATTTTGATACTCAATAACAAAACAATAGGTGTTTAAAGAATATGCAATTCATATACATGTATATTGTTTAAAACCGATCCTCTCTCTTTTCATCAGGTTAAAATTCAGTGCTTGACCCCAAGAAGCAAACACAGGTAAATTGTTCATAGAATAACTTCATTCTGCTTTAACTTATGTGTGCTTATGATAAAAAAGCATGCACTCATTCTTAAGGGATGGCACAGGAAGAATGCAAATTCATATGTGGACGAAATGAGTGTTGGCTCTGATGATGTAGACAGTATATCCGATGTATCTGATAATACATTCTGCAGAACTAGTGGATCTTCACATTGGGACCATTTAGAAAATTCATATTATCGGAAAGAACTAAGCAGTAAGGTATGAAGATTGTTTAGCTAATTAACTTCTATGTAATCAACCTTTTAATTTATTTTTTATATACAAAGAATCTATGAATTTGTTGATAACTAATCTTTGTAAAAAATTTGGCTAGTCATCTTTAGTAGAATCTTCCTTTTTAATCATTTTTTTCTTGTACACGAGACTTGAACAGAAATTTTAAAAGGATAAGTCCATTACAATTTAAACGAACTGACTTGTTAGTATAATTAACCTTTTATGCCTATCAATATCCTATGCTTCAGCCAGTCATCGTCCCACTATTAACTTAAAAGGAAAAAGTCCTAATTATGCACATAACTCTCAAGAGTTTGTACAAGAATATTTGTCAGTTTATTGTCTAACTACATTCTCTTACTATAGTTTAAGCACATTTTCTTTGTCTTATTGTATAGTTTCTTCTCATCAAGTTCTTATTCAAATTGGCTTTCTTCTAAGACAATAAAATCATCTTGTGATCTTACAGAGAATAAGTCCACTGGCAACATGTTCAGATCACGAGGTTGAGAGTTCCTTGTCCTTTTGGATTGGGGAGTTTCCCCAACAAAGTAATGCCAGTGGATTGAAGAAGAACATGAATGAGAGGAAAGATTCAACTTGCTCTAAACATGGCCCTTATCCACTCTATGATGCCTCCAGATCAATATATTCGTCCCCAGTAACCTCAAGTCCAGGGACACGGCTTAAGGGTAAAGTGGAAGACCTTGGGAAAGTTTTACATGCTAGTGACACAACCTTGACAAGGAGTGTTGGTTCATCAAAAGATCTCCTTGGTGTAGCACAAGTAACCATTGATTTGCTTCATGGTGAAGCAAAGATGTGGGAAGAAAATGCTACAAAGCTGATAGTTGATGTTGAGAGACTACGAAAGCATTTAAAGAAGAAGTCAAAGAATAAAAAGGAACTTGAAATTGAGTTATCATCGTCACGCAGAGAGAGCGATGCGTTGAAGGAAGAAATTCAACGACTAACCTCAATGGTGAAACAAAATGAAGGCAGAAATCTTAAGTTCCAATTAGAAGAGATGGATAATACAATAAAGGAGTTGAAAGATGAGATCAAGTATCAGAAAGGACTTAACTGTGACTTGGAGTTGAAGCTAAAGAAAACACAGGAGTCAAAGATTGATCTTGTTTCCATTCTCCAGAAACTAGAGAAGATAAAAGAAAAGCAGAAAATGGAGATTACTGGTCTATCCATGAATGGCTTGCGGTTTCAAGATGCTGAAATTAATAGCCGTGCACTTGAAGACAGTGAAGAAGAGGATTTTAGTTTAAGCAAGGAAGTCTTACCAGAGATAATGAGAAAGGAGTTTTGTCATTCAGATGTTGATCTCGGTGCTTATGGAAATGCAATAAGATGCTTGCATGAAGGGATTGAACTACAGGAATTCCGGAACTTGGAGCTTGAGCACAAACTTATGCAGGAGAAACAAAAAAATATGGAAAGTACTATCCAGATTCTGGAGAAAACTCTGGACGAGAAAGATCAAGAGATGCAAAGTGCAAGATGTTTTATGGCACAAACTTTAGAAGAAAATGAGGCAAAATGGAGGAATAGGCTGTTTGAGAAAGGGATACAAATCGTCAACTTTGAAAAGAAGTTATCTGATGGTGTTTATGCTTTTGGCAATGAAATCTTAGCTTTAACACAAAGGGTGCAAGATCTTGAAGCTGAACTTTGTGAGAAACATGGAGAGTCCATAAAGGATCTGATCATTTATAGTTCCTTTTCTTCTAACTTTCCACTGTTTGACACTGATACTACTACTATCAACATCAATGAAGTGTTCATTGAGTTATATAAGCAGCTGAAGCTTTCAGTAGAGAACCTGAGGGGTCAAGACTCTCTTATAGGTCAAATGACATTAACCAAAAACGGGAGTTGTTTCAGTATGTCAGAGCTTTCAAAAGATGCAGGTAAAATAGATTTGAAGGAATTGACCGAGGCAATCCTGTGTACCATTATCCTTTTGAAGAAGTTGCTTGAAACAAAAGCCACTTCCTTTGAGTATGAGATTAATTCTCAAGATGAGGAATTGCCTAATGATATGAAGTTTCATGACTGGACAAAGAATTCCCAGACTCTAATCAACAAAGATGATTTAAAGTTTGAGAGTTTAGATGATGAACACAATGCTTTGTTTGGACTTGAAGCAGAAAATGCAGAGTTATCTGAAAGAATATTCGGCTTAGAAGCTGAAATGAGACAATTGATTGAAGAAAAGGAGTCAACTCATTTGGCCCTGGAGAATTCTGAAAATGTTGTTGAAAATCTCCAGGCTGAGATCAGGAGAATGGAAGCTTTAAATGAGACACAAAGTGTTGAGTTGAAAAGAAAGGAGGAGAGCATGCAGAAAAAATGGATAGAAGCTCAAGAGGAGTGCAGATTTCTGAAAGTAGCCAACTTAGAATTACAAGCTACAAATGAAAATTTGATTAAAGAATCTAAAACTCTTCAAACAACAAACGATGAGTTAAGAATGCAAAACTTGGAGTTGCATAGCCAACATACATTATTGGAGTCTAAACTAGGGGAATCACAAATTGCATTTTTTGATATGTTGAAGCTAGTTGAAGAATTGGAATACAAGTATACTTCAGTGGTGGAAGAAATTGCTTTGAAGGAGAAAACCATAAATCTAGACCTAGATGCCCTTCTTGGGGAAAGCAGAAAGCTAGATGAAAGGTTTATTATGGAAGAAAAATTTCAAAAACAGATGTATTTGGAAAAAACAGCTGAAGTGGAAGACTTGCACAGAGAGGTTGAACACCTAAGAGACCAGATATCTGACATCTGTGATAGACACAAGAGGTTGGCTTCTAATATTGTACTTGAGGTCTATGATTTATGTGCTGCTAAAGCTATGCTTGAAGCTGCTCTTCAAGAAGAACATGAGAAAGTAAGGCTACATAAAGCCAAGCTTGATAACCTTCAAGCAGAATATGAAGTCATGGAGGAAAATTATACTGATGAACTAGATGCTTCCAGGGCAATCCAAGAAACTCAGATGGTTAATCATGAAAAAGTAGCTGTTTTATTGGAAAACAGCAAAGCAAATGAAGAGAAACTGAAGGGCACAGTTAGAGGGCTTGAGGCAGAGTTGAAAGCCTCAGAACTTGAGAGGCTACAAGCAACAGAAGAAATTTCTGAACTAGAAGTTCAACTTCAGAAAACAGAAATGCTTCATGACGAAATTTTTATCCACAAGAGATCACTGTATGAAGCAGAATTTGAATACAGAAGATTGGAAGCTTCATATCAGATGCTATCCTTAGAGCGTGATGAGCTGAAGGCTAAGAATATATCTTACATTCAAAGCATCTCAACCACTGAGAAAATTACATCAGAGTTGGAGGACTGCAAGCGTGGTAAAATTGAGCTTGAGGAAAAGATTTTACGGTTGCAATGGAATCTAACCACAAAAGAAGCTTCTTGTCTCAATAATGCACAGTTAAAATATGAAATTTCCCAAATGACAAGAGAAAATTGTGAGCTACACAGGACGAAAGATTCTCTTCAACAAGAGAATGAAAAGTACAAGAACAAGGTTAAAGATCTTGAAGAAAAGCTGAAAGAAATGAGAGGCGTAAAACAAGACCAGTATGATGCCAAAAATTGTAGTACTTCTACCGTTGCCCTGCATGATTTGAAGTTCTTACAGGTATGTACAAGTAACTTATAGTTAACTTATTTCTTTATTCATTCAAATTGGCACCCAAAAAGAAAATGGGGTTCATAACCGTGTCTTCCACTGCAGAAAGAGGACAATTGAAGCAGTATCATATCCAGTGAAGGCCCATTCTTGTCACATCCTTCCAATGTTGCTGACGTCAAGAACTGTATCGCAAGCTGTCTAATCACTCTTTACACCAAAACCACTATCTTTTTTCATTGTTTTCTGTACGAGACTACAAGTATAGAAATATCGCTGATTTAACCTTTTCTTAATCTCGAAGACTATGACTCTAAGGATTTTAAAGTCATAGAAACTTGTTTTCAGGTCTATGAAACTCCACTCCTCCTGGTAGTTCTTTTATAATTGCATGGATACATACTCTCTCTCTCTCTCAATACACCAACAGTTTTCTCCATTTTATGCTGTCAATTTTCCCTGCTTTATCTTGTTACAATTTCTTGAGAGCAACGCTTTGCAGATAGTCCGCAAGAACTATTTAATGGAATTTTACTAGAACTTACGAAGATTCAATGATGATTGGTGTGCAATTTAAAGTAACAAGAATCACTCGTCATGCATCCAAAATTCAATAAGAATGTCGAGTTATTCTTGTCAATATCCTAACAAGAAAATAGTAGCTACATTATAACTTCACACCAATAAACAAAATTCTACTCGCTCTGCATGACGTTACCATCCTTGTAAATCCTTTTAACCAACGTCACGTTATTAAATAAGCACACGGGAAATTAGCATTCGCTTAGGTAAAATAGCAAACAAATAGCTTTGGATGTGTACTTACTACCTGGAGGAAGGTAAAATATTTCATTTAGTCCAACTTAGGCTGTTCTGACAAGCTTAATTTCTCACTTTTTACATTTTTTTATCTATAAAAATTACAATGATAATAATATATTTTGAACCTAAGACTATTCAGAATACTGTTTGGGAATGCTTAAATTACTGTAATCTTTATGCAGACGTAAGGGAATAATTGCTTAATCAATTGACCTTCTGCTTCAGGCCAAGTAGAGTAAATTAAAATTCAGGCAAGCCAATATTGGGAATCAACTGGTAGTCGAGCGTATCTTTTAAATGAACAAATTCGCTCACATCGAGTGAAAAGCAAAATATTACCTATAATCTTTGTGAGTGCTATAAACATAATCTTATATCTGAATTTTTCTTAATGTATTGTCAAGATTAGGTCTTGTGAAACTGTAAATCTTTCGATTATAAATTTGTGTATTGAAATTTAAGGACCTGGTACAAACTTCTCAAACTCCTACAACCACTAGACCAACTTCTGAACATAATTCCTTTAGTAATGAGGATTGTAAGATTAGGAAATAAACAATGTCAAAGACCATTTTGAAAAGAAAAAAATATATACATATATATATTGATAATATGTAAGAGGAGATATATACAGTTCTTATTTGCAATTATTTGAGGCAAAATATTATGCGTATATACAGACTATCTCTTTTTTCAAATTTTTTTTTTTTGTGGGACGGGGGGTACTGCTTTCCATATACAGGCTTGTAATTTTCAACAACAAAATTTTGAAAAGAATAATCAGGTCAACTATTTATTTACGTAAGAATGATGAATCAACAGCGCCATTTGCTAATCCAATTATACAATTCGTGTAGTTCCATATATAATCAGGAAAACAAAGGCATCTACTGAACACTTATAAATAAGAACCTCGACACCTTCAGAATTGAGATTAACTCCCTCATCAGATTTTTTTTTCTTCTCTATGTCCTTTTTAACTTCCTTTTTACAGTATGGAATATGCTCGGACCACCTCAACAATTGGTGCTCGGCATAAAGGACACTTACCACCACCACGAACTAACTCATTGGCACATTTTGAACAAGTGCACATGTGCCCACATCTGTAAGAAATTGCAATGTGGAGAAATGAAGAAACAAGACAATTGTTCAGAAAAAGTAATCAGAATAAACTACAGATCAATGCATAAAATGTAGGGTTGTCATATTTTGTTCATCAGCTTATGTATTATAATGTATAAATACCTGTACAAAAGAGAATCGATATGGCTATCACAACAAACACAGCAAGTTCCTTTTTTCACATGCCCCCATTTAGACCCATCATCAGATGTCTCAGCACCCAATCCTACAATTATAATTAATATATAATATGAATTACTGGTGCTAAAGAAAGATAAGCGCAGATAATTAAAAATAAATGCAACCAATACAGCTGCACTATCGTCAAAAGAATAAAACCCTTCATACAAAGTAAAAAACACGTGATGGCATTGACAGAAGAGAATAAATCACACACCATTTTCACCACCTGAGCGATTCAGAGCTGCAGATACTTCCTGTCTGACAGAGCGCTGCAACTCCAGTTGCATATCCATGCAGGCCTCCAACATCCTCTGCATGTGATTCATGCCTTGCTGAAGTCTTGCCATGTCAGATCTTAAATCATTCATTATCTCCCACTCCTGCTCCCAATCAGCAAACAAACCAGTACTTCAAAAAGGATTTTAATATAATACAGTATGAAAACTATTTAGGCAAAGAAAGAGCACCAGAAATGAAAGGTAAAATAAGTAGACCTATTACCAGAAAGGCACATCAAGAGTCAACACATCAATGACAACAGAGATCCCAAATAACAAGTTGCCAAAGCTTCAAGACTACTTAGAAATTTTCATTTTACTAAAAAAAAATAGATTCAACTAATACTTTTACTTGGACACCACACCTTATTAAATATACCCATCGTCACTTAGCTTGGTAGTATCTAGTAACTAACAATTCAACACACAATGTAATGGAAGAGACATGATTAGCATCCTAAACTCAATCAAATTTAACAAGTTTCTACTTACTAGCTTAGTAATGACTACTGAAGATCCTGCAAAGAAACGCCTAAATTGGTTGACATGTAAAAGAATGACAGAAAGAATTAAGGGAATACTATATTGTCTGTGCAATTCCATGGTAACCAAAACAAATGCCCACAAGGAATTTAGATTAGAATGGTGCTCACAATTTCAGAACGATGCATGCTATGGCGAGACCATCCAGTTTGATGCAAATCCTGGTGCCACAGTGGTTGTGGTGGAGGTACTGGTGGAGAAGGCAACACCAGTGAAGGCCTGTTGATGGTTTCACGCTGACCCTCATCACGTTCATCACCCTGCTGATCCGGGTCTCGTTCAGGTGAGGCAGGGGTTGGTGTTGGCAAATTCCGATGTAAATCCCAGTCAATTGGTGCCTGACCTTGCCTTTCCACATATGACTGTATTAGTTGGTCCAGACTTTCACGGAATCCACTACGAAGAAGGTTAGAGACACTTCTCCTGAAACATGAATAAAAGATACATCACAATCATAAGGCTTGGGGGCTAAAAGAAATGAAAGCCAATAAATGAAGTAATCAATGTATAAATGGCCCACTCATTTTAGATTTTGGAAAGGGTTAAACAGATGATTGTATAAAAAATGAGACACCCTTGGGAGAAACTCCTTTTATTTTCTTTTCCCAAACACTTGTTGACTGACATTGGGATAAATATAACCCAAATAGGCTGAAAGCCATCTGCAAGGCAAAAGATCCAAAAGAAAAGAATTACCTGCTCAGAAGTTCTCTAAGCTCCATACTGTATACATTATCATCATCAGGTGGATGAAATCTGTTGAATCTTCTAAAAGGAACCCCACGGCGATTTCTTGAAGCTCCAGAAGGTCCTTCAGACCAATTACCAACAGTTTCCCTTGTGTTATCCTCATGCCAAATTCTTTGAGCTTCCCGTGGATGAGGATCTTCCCCAGCTAAATTTCTGGGAGGTTCCTGTGGCCAATTGCTGACTGCCCTGCCATCTCTTATCTGATTGAATGGACTCTGTTGCCAGTTTCCTCCCCTTTCTTCAGCAATTTGTTCCTGCCAATTCCCTCCTTGATTACTGGCTTCTTGCCAACTAATACTCTCACTTGCCCTACTCTCTAAAGTTCCTGTCCGATTAGGCGCCAGCTGATGCACATCAGTTTCCAGGCTCCTAATCTGTTCTTGTTCATAGTTTTCTTGCTGGCCATCTACCAGACTGTTTGCTTGGTTCTCATTGCCTCTTGTTTCACTGGCATTACTATTTGATGTGGTATCAGGATTGGTGCCCGCTTGACCACGAACAATATTTTCTAATCTTGATCGAAAACCCTCCCTGAATTACATCATTTAAGTGTCAATGCAAGACAATCAACTACTAATGATAACACGACCAAATTGTACGCGATATTCACCAACATACCATACTTGATGAATAGAAGCAACATTATAAACATATTTATTATATAAATAAGCTAATAAAAATGTATAAAAATGTCAAAAGAAACAATACCCCTCCCCATACTAAGATTGGTTTCTCATGATATAATGGAGTAAAATGAAAATCCACCATCGCACTTAACGTTTCTTAATATGCAACACATAGAGTCCGAAAAAAATCCACCAATGTGTGCTTAAGTTACTATTCCTTGTCACAAATGTTATAGCATCTCAATCACTTTATTTTATTTCTATACCAAAACTTCCAATATATGAGTATTAGACAAAAGAAGCACCCACAACATGGATTTAAAAGAGAACATTCAATTTTATTTAAATTATAGAATATACAGTTTCTTTTGTATCTTGGAGAAGCCTAAAAGAAAGAGCGGGGTGGGGACAAGTTCTTCTACATTGTATCAGTTTAGACTCAAATAAACAAAAACTAAAATCCTAATTTGATTGAGCAAATAATGAAGAGCGTGAGAGCATCATCTTTGGAAGAAGTCTTGAATTGCATACCTTAAACCAGAGACTGTGTGTCGTTGTCTTAGTTGAACTAATTCAGTTGCAGCCATAGACGGAGGCCTCTCATCTTCAACAGTTCTTTCATTTCGGAGGAATCTACCTCTGAGCAGTGACTGTAAAAGGTAATTTTGGAAAAATAGTCAATTTACAAGAGGAGCAAGTATACACGGTGGGAAAAAAAAGAGTGAAAAACAAACAACTGCTGTGCACATAAAAGTCTTCTAATCACGTGACTTATTAAATTTTTAAATAGAAAATAATTATAAGAAAAAAAATCAACTGAATAAATCAAGTTGAAAAATGAAACAGTTGGTTTCATATAACAATGAAAATAGAACTCTTATAATAAGCATATTATATATAGATCCACAACTAGGCCCATTATCCACTAAAACAATAACAGAACCAAAGGGATATATATATATATATATATATAATTTTGTTCGACCTTCTTATTAATATTATTCCCATCTAGAAAAATAGGTTTGGTAATCCAGAGCACAGAAATTCCTCTCGAATAATATTCTAAAAATG